GTGATGACTACAGCAAAGCACCCTCTTTCCTATTTTTAACTGGATCACAGGGCTGCGTCAGAGGACTCGCTGCTGACTAATCCCACTGGGCCATCTCTCTCTCAGTTGCATAAATGCTATCCTTACAAGCTCAGGAACATTTGAGAGAAAAAACCTGGGAAGTCTGCACACTGGGCTTCTCATAAAGAGTGCCACACCGGGGCTGGGGGACTCAGACCACGGCTCTCCTGAAGTTGTCTTGGACTCTGGCTGAGAGAGAGTCTCAAAGACGAATTAATGAATGAAGGTCTCGTGATGCTTTGCACACTGCAGTCCAGGCAGGGCTGCTCGAAGTGTGGATGGAGGGCACAGTGGTGCTGGTCTCAAACAGTTTTCTCATTGCACAGCTGTCCCTTCATGTTTTGTTGGAGGAAAGAAATCCAGAGTAAGAGCCAAGGGCTTTAAAGTAGGCGAGGACCACAGGGTGACAGCCGCAGGGTTTAGCATCTGCCGAGACCCGGGTCACGGAAGGCAGCCTGTCTCATCTTGCTGAGGGGAGACGGAGTCTTTGAGACCCTGGGGGTTGGGCTGCAGCTCCTGGGATGGCAGGAGGAGGCAAGGTTGTGCCATGAGAAATCCAGGGAGCAGAGTGGTGCAGGGGATGCAGGCCCGAGGCAGGCCCAGCAGCGCAGAGCCTGAGCGCCTGCCAGCCAGGGCACCTTCCTCTCAGGGCCGGGGGTCACGTGAAGGCCAGCCTGGAGGGAGCAGCTGTGTCCGGTCCTGATCGCAGAACACGCTGTGGACAGGGGCTTGGAATCCCCTTGCCTTGACCTCCTTATGCACACAACTGAGAGCTTCACGCACGGGCTTTGGGTGGGGATGAGAGAAGTCGTACACCTGACAAGGGTGACAAGGAGAGGACACGGGACAGCAGCTATGTTGACATTTTCCAGGAAGAGCCGAACTGAGTCAAGGCCGTGCCTCGGTCATGCCGCCTGGTGCAGGGCCTATGTTAGGGACCAGAGCTGGGCTGGGGATGTCCGTCGGTGGCAGAGCCCTTGCTGGTGAGGCCCTGGCATCACATCACACAGGGAGGAAGGAAGGGAGGGAGGGAGGGAGGGAAGGCAGCCAACAACAACAACAAAAAAAAAACAGAAAAAAAAATTCTCCCGATTTTTAATTCCACATCATTTCCTTTATCTCCTGTGTTTTAGAACAATGTATTTATTTCCAAGTATGCATTATCATTTCCACTGGTGCAGCATGGCTCACTTCCTGTTCCAGTTCAAACACACTTCCTCACCACTCCCTTTTAAACACTGATTTGACTGGTTTCCTCCATCCCCTCCCAAGGAATATGCTCCATTGAGTGAGTGCATTGCTGGCTCTGAAAAAGCAAGACTTTCCACTTTCAGGTCGTCAGCCCCTGACACTGCAGCCTGACTTCAGGCCTGATGAAATTACAAGTGACATTTAGAACTGAAGAACTTTTTCCTTTGTGTCTGTGGAGAAAATAACATTTATTTTGACCTAATGTTATTTTTTCCCTTTTAAATCAAATAAATCACACTAATGACCGGAGAGTTTCCACTGATCTTTACGACTCATTGATCAACCACGACAGAACAAGCCAGGCCAACCTGGCCAGGGGCGCAGTCTCTTCCGAGCTGTCTTGGAGCCTGCTGTCCCCTCAGAGAACCATGAGCCGCAAGACGGCAGCTTCCTCAGCTCAGCTCTTTGTCTTTATCAGCTCACAATTCATAAATTCTTCCCGTGTTCCAGGCTGTGGGGTGCAGCAGCTTGAAGCCAAATCCACCTGCCCCTGGTTTTTACAAACAAACTCTACTGGACGCCAACCCCACCCATTCCCTTACTGGGGCCCCGGGGCCTTCTCACCACAGCAGGGAGTTGGGCAGAGGCAAAGGCCGTAAGCCTAAAATACTCACTCTCCGCCCAGCGAGACGAGAAAGCTCGAGGTCCCTCGCGCTTCCCTCTTACTCTCTCTGTCTCGAACGCTATTGTCAAGACTGGAAACAAGTGAGGCTAGGCGGGGAACTGTGGGAAAGAAGACATGCTGGGGACTTGATGTGTCACCTCATTTCATTCTCAGAAGGGCTACAAGACTGATATTTTAAGCCTCATGCTATAAATAACAAAAGGGGGGCTCAGAGAGATAAGATCTAGGCTACTTAAGGTTTTGTCACTAATAATTAGAATATGGATTTGAGTCCAGCCTTCCCAATTCTAAAAGTGTCTCTGTTCTTTGTACCGTATCGTAGAATTTTTAGTCTCATTTACTTTTCACTGAGAAAAATGTGATCTACCATCCCCCCTAAACGGAAGTAGTTTAATTTTAAAAATATTGCTGGATACTAACTCATATTTAATAAATAGCTGACTACAGGCCCAAATCATCCTGTGCATGGGTCCTAATGGGTTTGCCTGTGCCTGGTGCCTGCTCATCCAGACAGGTGTGCTGGACTGCAGGGCATGAGGACGGGCAGCTCGGGACAGGCAAGTAGCATTCTGCATTCTTGGAGAAGCACGGTGGCCCGGAAGGCGGAAGTTCTCTGTGTACCCCTTCAGTTACCTAGACCCCATCTAGCTGTGTCATTCAGTCAACCGCCCCTCATCTCTAAACCAGAGGTAGCCATATTTGCCTAACTGTCCGACTCGTGGATGAAGCTCTTCAGAATACAGCTTCCCAGGGCCCTTCCTGACCATTTAAGTCAGGGTCTTAGCCACTTCCTTTGGTGCTGAGACACAGTACCTGACACTCACAACTCAAGGGAGAAGAAGTTTATTTTGGCTCATGCTTTGGTCCACGGTCAGCTGGCTCCAAGGCAGGACAGCATGGCAGAGGGGCCTGGCGGAGGAGCACTGCTCGGGGCTTGGTGGACAGGAAGCGGAGAGAAGTGAGGAGCCTGGAGGAGACCCCCGATGACCCCATACACACCTAACACCCAGCCATAAGCCTCACAGTCCCAACCATCTTCTGAAAGCCCCCCAATGAGCACATGAGGCTCTGGGGGGAGCAGTCTATCTGGGATTAGGTCAGGAAATTTACAATTTTATTTTTTTATTTTAACTTTTGCAGGTTATTCTGATGATCAGTGAGGTTTGGGAACCACTACTCCAGAGCATGGGGGCAGACAAGGGCTGTGTCACTGTTCCCGCCCTTCTGGTCCTCTCTGGAGTCCTCAAAGCTGCCCATGTCCTGAGCCCCAGGCTGTGATCAATGGCTGCGTCCTTTCTTGTCCTTGCTAAGTGAGGCTGAGGACAAGGACAGGTCCACCCCACACACCACATTCTGTGTGTCCTCAGCACCCAGGAAGCTGTGCAAACACCTTCTGCTTTAATTAAAGGGAGTTGTGTTTTTATCTCTGTTGCCATCTTTTCCACTTTCCACTTCCGTGTGTTCACATCGCTCCGATATAAATCCAACTCTGACTTTTCATGCTGAGTTCAAAAATAAACTTCCTTTAGATTTAGGTGATGAAAAGCTGATATTTATCTCCTCTCCTTTCTTTTAAAATGTCACTACAACCTTTATGAATTAAATCCAAGAGGCTTTGAACTCTGAACATTTGGAAGCCTCCACCATCTGTTAATTTAGGCCTTTTCCCTGCATGGTACAGGGGTTACGTTAGCCTTTTTAAGTATGGACACACATCTGCATTCAAACCCTACGCATTTTATCATTTAGCTCCTCTCTCTTGCAATGCATAATTTAAATAAGTGACTTCATTGATCTTGTTACTTGGTGGGAATCACTATTACCAACTCTTACTCCTTGTATTGGTCAGCATCCCCATTGCTGGGAGAAAATACACGACACAACTTAAAGGAGGACAGGTCTAATCTGGCTCATGGTTTCAGTGGATTCGGTCCATGGTTAGCTGGCTTCAAGGCTGAAACATTACGGCGGAAGGGAGTGGTGAAGCACAGCTGCTCACCTCCTGACAGGTGGGGGCAGAAAGCAGGGAATAAACCAGACAGGAAGCAGGGAATAAACCAGACAGGACAGGGCCAGAGACTAGGCCACTCCCAGGCCACCCCCCCATGATCAAGTTCCTCCAACTAGGCTTCACAGACTAACAGCTCATTCAGCTGCTAACTCCTCAAAGGGTTAACCCATTGATTGGATCTGTGCCCTCCCAATCCAGTCTCTTAACACAGCCAAACTGCCAATCAAGACTGAGTGGCACACTCCCTTACCAAAAGATATGTGTATGGCTTCTGCTTAGGTGAATTAAAATATATGTGAGAAGACTTTAACATATTCCGCGGTATAATTACGATTAATTAGATCATCACCGAGAAAGCAGGAGACATAGAACATAAGAGGAAAGATAACGCTTGACACATCAAGTAAAACAGTAAGAGGAAACTATTACTAGCATATGAAAGTGTTAGAATTATGACAGTCTTCTCCCAAAGACAAGTTCAACTGACAGCACATATGGGGTCAATGAGGCAGCACAATAATACTTGGAAGACCCCACAAAATATAGCAACCAAATTGGGGATTGGGAGAAGAAAATGGTGATTTAGACTGTAATGCAATATACTGCCACAGGCCAAAGAAACTAGAGGTGAAAAGAGAAAGCACATGAAATTACCTTGGGCAAGATCTCTCTGCCTCTTCAAGATTAACAAGGCACATTTCACAAGAGATGTCTCAAGGGGCTTTCCCAATGATTTATTTAAATCAAAAGTGATAAGCTACAATTAAATAAGCATTATGTGTCCATATTAGATCAGCTCTAATGAGCAAGTCCAGATTCTATTTCCATGATCAAAGTTGCCTTTCCTGGCAGCCTCTCCTTGCCAGTCTGTCCCCCCCAGGAAAGACTGCAGAGTGAGGACAACTCACTTGTGAGAGGGCCCAGGAAGCGCTGTGACCAGTTCAAAGTCCTTGGAGGCAGCAGAGGTAGCTGCTGTAGGGAGAGCTGATCCCAAAGAAACTGAGACCTCTCCCGCCCTCTCTAGAGAAGGGGCAGGGCCACAGAGAAGTCGGGGCTGGGCACCAGGATGATCCAGGCTGAGACCCCACCAGGGCGGCCCACATCTCAGGGCCCACCCTTGGGATTCTCCTAATGCTGCCGCACATTTCTATTTATTGGCGAAGCATCTGTCTGTCTGACTTGCTGACTAGATGGGGAACAAAAGCAGGTCCCCTAAAGGCAGCCACCAAGGTGAACTTCCGAGCGTCACCAGAACCTTCCATGTGTCTTTGTTCAAATGTTTGCTCTGGATGTTGGTGTTCTTGGCTGGGTAGGTGGGTATGTCCAGTAACAGAGTCTAGAAACTCAAAAGCAACCTCTGATCTGTAGCAATTGAATAGTACATTATTTGCCTTGGTCAACATGGAGTAGATCCCTTCTCTGTAGGAGGAATACATTTAAAATGCATGCACAAATTCACATATCTACGTTTACCAACACAGGCATTCACCAGTTTGGAAAGCATGACGGGGTGGTGCAGCACCCACCTAGCTTGCCTGGCACTTACAATGGTTCCATCCCCAGCACCACAAATGCAAACAAATGCAAAAGCACACAAGAAAATACAGCAAAGTATACAATCATGAGTGTTTATGTAAGTCCAGATTACAAATGCATCTTCACACTGTCAAATGCTTTTCCCGCTGATGGTCAAGCCAATTTCATGAGCATTTACCGATGGGCTATAGAACTTGTCCTATGTGACGTTAATAATTATTACAGATAGAATTGTTCCATGGTTTATAATTAGGGGAAATACTGGGTGACACAGATTGAAAGAGATTTATGATTCTATATTTATTATAATTTATAGTATTATATTATTATTAGACTTTCTCAATGCTATTTAGAACTTTTCAGTGTTTTTCATTATTTCATTATGCTTTTTTATCTTCGAGGTTAGAAATGGACAGTACAAAATTGCTGAAGAATGTTCTTTACTCTTTTTATGAAACAGCTGAAGGCCTGGCCAGTGGCTGGAGGAAAACACTTGGAGAATGCTGAGCTGGATTTCTAAAGCAGGTTAATTCTATTGAAGATTCTTCACCACTGAGGATCTCTAACCCTGGACGCCTGTGCATCAGGAATTGTGACCAGGTTGGAAATCACTGGCCGAGAAAGCTGATCTCTTTGTGATTAACCAACATCAGCAAAATCAGTAGACTATAAAGAATCTGTGTTCAAATTCCAGCACATGTATGGTCCTTAAGCTTAAGTGTGTCACTTGACTGCCTCGGAAGCCACCTGAGGGATCAGTAAAGCAGTTTTGAGTGTGCCCGGAGGGTCAGGGAATATGGCCTTGGATCCACATTCAATCCCTCACCCTCCTCCCTGGCACTGCCCCCCGATCCGCTTTGTAGCCACCAGGCCCTCTTGCCATGATGTTTCTCCCTTTGAGCCAGCTGATCATGGACTGGATCTGCTGAAACTGTGAACCAAACGAAACCACTCCTCCTTTAAATTGTGGGTGTCGGGGGTTGTGCCCCAGCGGATGGGAAGCTGACTAATACAGCATGCTAACAATATTAACTGCTAGGGATTTATCTGACCTATTCACAACTAATTTTCATACCTAGTGACACAGAGACATCGTGTAGGGGGCTGAGGGACTCAAGGACTGATCTGGGGAAGAGGTGACCACGAGTGGAGCGGAGGCACTGATGCAGGAATCTTTTATCAGGCAGCTCTTGGACAGGTCACAGTGGGAGGAAATTGGACCACACAGAGGAGAAGATTCAGGAAGCTTCCAGGGACAGGGCCCTGGGGTGGTCAGTTAATGCATCCCCGAGGGTGGGAAGGCCTGGTTCAGCGAGCAAAGGCCAAAACGGTTGTAGTCTTGGAGCCAGCAGATGTGAGGGGAGGCTTAAAGGGTACACAAAGTGGGCAGCCTATAGATGGCTACAAATTGGCTTGTCTGGACAATCTTTAAAAGAACTGGCCAAGTGAAAACGTGGTACTGCGGGTAGGCTTTTGAGCAGATGGTCCTGAGTTTGCAGTGAAGAGATAACCTGGGGCCAATACACAAAGGCCACATATTTGGCCACTTACAGGGCCAAGGGTGTAGGCACAGTGGACAAGGCCTTGTGGTTCCTCCGCTTCAAGCTCTGGGAAGCTCCCAAACCTCTGAAGGTCCCACTGAAGTTAGAGCCAGTGCCACCACGGATGTTCTGAGATACTGGTGCTCCTTACAGCACCACTCCAATAAGAAGAAAATAAGGGGACAGAAAAATCACTATCTGGTCACCGTAGTAGTAATTCTTATACCCATGGACGCTAAAATCAGAGGGTGAATGCATGAGACACAGATTATGTGCCCAGTCTCAAAGTACCTCCCCACACGATGCTCATTTATCACAGAGAAGACGACAACTTCACAGAGGAAGGGTCTGTTGGCCGTTAGAGATAAAAGAAGCGGTATTTTAGAGTATTCGGATCAGTACCATCTCCTCCTCATGTGGAGATAGTTGGAGGTAAGAGCAGTCCAGGGTGTGCACTTTCACAAGCCCGTCAGGTGACTTGGGAGATGTGGTCTCTAGGGACCCTGTCATCAATCCCTCTGGTTTGCCGGAAGAGACAACACGAAAGGCGTGGGGAAGTGGGGCACAGGAGAGGAAGTAGCAGTGAGGGGGAATTGGAGGACTGACGGAAGTGGCTTCAGAAACAGTTGTGAATCAGGGGCTTGGGGAAGACGCTGGGGGTAGGGAACAGCATGAAAGACCTAAAAGAGATTTTGCTGGTTTCATACATGAATGTTCTCCTTGGCATGGCATGTGACACTGCTGTAGAGACGTCAGCTGTTTTCTAAGTTTTCCTGTGTGTTTTTCTTTGAATAGTGCTCTGTTGAGATGAATCAGAAGGGAGCCTGGGTGGAGTTCTGTTACACAGTGACACAGTGGAGATCCCTCGCTGTTTGCAAAACAGACCCCAGAGGCATTTCCCTGGTGACCACTGAGCCTTGTGGTGAGCAGTCCATCCCGGGCAAAGCCAGTGACGAGGCAGCCCCACAAGGTCACACTCTGGATGACCTTGTGATGCAGCCCAGGTGCCAGCTGGGCAGGGCCCACAGCAGTGTCCAGGGTATGGTAGGGCACGGGCCAAGGAGTGCTCAGCACCCCTTACAGACTGTCTTCAGGTGCAGCATCCCTGTGTTTCTTTCTGGCCATTTTCAGCACTGGAAGCCAGAAATGGACCTGAAAGTGGATGAATGAACACAGATCATTTCAAATGTCTCTGATATAAACTCCTCCTTGTGGGGCTACTGCTCTTAGGAAAAATCACAGACTTTGAAATGCAGAGAAAAAGATTCTTTCATGGGTCTTCTTGGTTTTTCGCTGTGAGCTCTTTTCCAGTTCAGGAAGTTATGGACAGCTGGCAGCAGCAATGCCAAGGGCTCTGCTCTGTGACATGCAAACGGCCTTCACCCTCCAGTGAGTGTGCCAGACTCTGTCACAATCACCCTGGAGGGAGGTGCCCATCCTGCAATGCCAGGCAAACTCATTCCGGATCCCTAATGACCACCGCATGTGTATGCATGTGCACTTTTAATTAATCCTTGAATTGGCTATAAGTATTTGTCCCTATTAATAAACAAGTAAAATACAGTCTTTGATGTGACCATCGCTAGGTGTCTACGGCAGACACTCTGCGTGTGTCTGTAAAACAACACGGAAGAATAAGCCCATTCCGTGACGGTGACCAAATGAGTGTCAGAGACTTCCTCCCATGTTTCTGTTACTCTTGACCTGAGTAACAGGTGGGCACTGCCCTTTACGAGCCGATACAGAGGACCCTCCCAGTCGCCTCCCGACAGCCAGCAGTTTGAAGGCATGGTGTGGACTCCTGGGCCAGCAAGTGAACCACAGTGCTGAGAGCCCCAGCCGCGCATGCTGGCTGTTTGCCCTTCTGCTGGGACACAAGCCTGATGTGAACCTTAAGAGTGCCTTAAGGTCCTCTTTCCTCTGCCCTTCTAACTGACACCAGCTTCATTAGAAGTGGCCTCTCGCCTCAGCCTCACCTGTGTAAAGTACAGATTCTGTTTCCTTTTGGCTTCTCCCGGCAGCTGCTCTGACCTCTTCTTAAGCAGCTTTGCATGCAGGTATCGCGTGCGCTCCTTCTCCACCCTGGGGTAGAAGGATGTGGCCACCAGGATTTTGAGTTGCATCAGGATGGAGGACAACAGGCCCAGCAGTGCTAGCAGCACAAGGATAACCCCAAGGGGAGCCCAGGTCTTAGACAGGAGGAGCTTGGGGCTGGGGAGGCAGCCGGGTTCAAACACAGATATATTGAAGGAAGAACTGTGAATGATGTCTCCTTGCTTCTAAAATGAAAGAAAAGAACAATCACTACCCCTGCGGTTTTCCTCGGACTCTTTCCCAGTGCTTCCCTGCAGCACAGAGCACTTATCTCCAAATTCACAGGAGAGCTTTGCAATTGCATCTTCTGTGTGTGTTATGCCCAGTGCAAGGAGCAGCGCGAGTCTTGTGTGTAACCACAGAAGTGTATTCCACAATGAATTTCGGCAAACGGATTCCCTGAAAGAAGGGCCCCAGCTGAATGTGTCTGTCCTGCCTGAGTGTGGGCTGCGTCAGACGCTGAAGAGAAGTAGGGAGATCTTGCCACACAATCGCTTTCATAGCTTACACTCAGCACTCCCAGGCTTAAGAGAAGGGGAGCCAGCTCCCCAGGCAGAGATCGCCTGGGGACACAGCCTCGTGCTCCTGGTCAGGAAAGACCCCTTCATCAGGCCACAAAGACACTGGGGCATTGAACGGCGCTCTAGACAGCCTTTGGGAGGGTGGAGATTGTTCCTGTTCAGACTACAATGTCCACGTTGAAGCTGACACACTGACCCCAAGACCACCTCACTGAAGGGTCTCTCCATTCTTGTTGGAGGAAGTTTCTAAAATCGGGCACCACAGAGGACTGTAATATTGATTAGACCCAAAGCAGGCTGTGAAGAGTTAATCCCACAGTTGACTTGTTTATAGAAGTGAATCTGGCCAAAGCCTGGCCTATGTGCTGAGGTCAGAGTAACTTGCACCCAAATTGTTCCCACAGCTAAAACCTTCAGATGAGAAGGACAGTGTTCTAATTACAGCCACATATTCTCTCTATTCTGTTCCTGATTCGAGAATGCTTTGTCTTGTCCTTTTTGACCCTTACTTCCATTAATTTCCATAGAAACCACACATCACCTTTAACCCAAGTGATTGCCAATAAAAGTCAGTACCTGGGACTGACCAGGGCCTTTGCAGGCTGCACTGGCATTGGTCAGCCTGGCCCCTGCTTTTCCTCTCCTAGTTCTGTCTCTTAGAGTATTTGTTTTATTTCTCAGGTCTGCGACACTCACTGGGCTGGTGGATATTGGAACCTGACTGCAGGGGTCTCTGGCAGGACACTTTTCACCTCTCAGATGCCCACAAAGGGACCTTTTTACCATCTGAAGGCAAGAGACAAACCAGTTGCCCTCAGAAGCCTGTCCCAGAGGGCAGAAGGTGACACTGAGTCACCAGCCTGGCCACCCTCACAGGACAGGCATGCTGATTCAGCGCTTTCCTCCCCTGACCTGGGAAAGTCATTGCATCTGTCAGTGGATTTGTTTTCTAATTTGGTAAAGCAGGAGTTAATGGGCCAGATCTGCCCATGAATAAACCACGCCAGGTGCAAATGAAGCACCTTAGGGATGGAGCATTAACTTTACAGACCGGGCACTTAGTAAGTTATTATCACCCAAGCGCCTCCGTGCCAGGCGAGGGGGTAAATGACTCTGCAGAACAACAAAGCAAAACAAAAGCCCAGGCACGCCGAGAGAGCACTGGGCATCGCTGGGCATCACGGGAGCCCAGGGCTGTGAGGAGCTGGAGCCCCCACCTGGGGCCTCCTCTCCTCACCTCAGCTCTCCACTGTGCCAAGCCGTGGGAATCGTCTGTGTTGCTTCTCTTCTCTTAGTAAAAAGACAGCCCGGCTGCAGTTAAAGAGAGATCTGGGCCCCAGAGCAAGAGCGTACTCTTTTTGATACTCCTGGAGACACAAGCTCAACGATTGCCTGGCGGTGAGCAGCAGGAGCCCAGCCGGGAGAACTCATTCAGTCGGGAGCTCTTCTTGGGGCTCATTCTGCAGCTGGGAGTCTGGGCTTCAGAAAGACGGAGTCAACACTCCGGTGCCGGCTTGGCTGAGGGTAGCGCGGAAGGCAAATCTGCGCTTTCAGAATGCCAGGCAGTGTGGTGAATGGTACCGTGGGATTTAAACCTGCTGGCCCGTCCTAGGCAAACACTTCGCTGATGGCTGAGTGGTGGGCGGAGGCTGGGAAAAGCAAGGGCCGCCAAGCGCCAGGCACACAGTGGGTAGAACACACCCTGGCTACTTTTACCCACAACGCCCACCGCACGGTGAGCTCAACTCGACCACTTCTCATCTTCTTTAAAACATTGAAAGTAGGACAGGACTATTGGCAAAGCCTTGAGCCGGCGCCTCTCTTCCTGTTTGACTTTCCTTTGAAACTCTGCAGCAAGAGGAGGCTCGAGTGTCAGGACAAGGCTGGGCACTGCAGGTCATGCAGGAGCTTGCTGAGGAGGGAGGGAGCCAGAAAGCCCCAGCCTGCAGTGGGGTCCTCACATCCCAGCCCTGCCCAGCACCCTGCTGGGCGTGCTGCCCCCAGGGAGGCGTCCCAGGCTGGACAGGGGCACCCGTGCCCAAAAGAGCCCAAGACCATGTGTCATGCACTGGCACTGTCCTCAGAAAGCTGGGGTTCTGGGAAGGGCAGAACTTGCCCCCCAACTCCTAACTGAGCCAAACAACTCACAGAACAGGAACGGAGGCTGGAAGCAGAGAATGAGACAAGCAAAACAAGAAGGAAGGGCAGACAGGGAGGACGGCAAAGGGAGACAAGAGCGAAAAAGGCAGGAGAGGAATCCGGGAGAGGGAGGCTTCCGTCCTGCCACCCCAAGGCGAGCCTGTCTGAGGCTCTGCCTGGCCTTCCTCAGAAACGCTTCTCCCGTTATCCACGCGGCTCCAACGTCGGGAGCCACAGGGCGCCTGGTGATTAACTGAATTCTTCAGGGGAAGCAGAGAGCTCAGAGTAATCAAGTCTGAGAAGAAGCCCAGGATTAGGAGGGCAGGGGCTGGGGGACCCAATCTGCTGAGCCAGGAGGAAAGGGGGAAGGGAGGACACAGTAGGAAGGTTGGGGGCTGAGAGAGAGAGGGCAGGAGAGAAAGAGAGAGAAGAGAGGGAGAGAGAGGGAGAGAGAGAGAGAGACCGAGAGACTGATTCATAGCAGCGGTGGCCGGCAGCACCCCGAGATTCCCCCAGCAGCCTCCACAGTCTCCGCAGCTTGTCAGAGGGGCAAAGCGGACACACAGAGACTCCGTCAATGTTTACTCTGGCCAGGCAGTGTGTCAAGCCAGCACACACCACACACTCATGCACGCACAGCTGTACACACGCCCATGCACACCCACACGCGTTGCTGCACACTGGCACGCATAGGCACGCATGCGCACACACGAGCACATGCTCCACCCGCTGAGCTTCCATTTCCGGGGCTGGGAAAAACGAAGGCACGTGTGGGACCCCGCCCAGAGCCTCTGCAAGGTCAGCGTCAACAGAAACTTCCTCAGGGAAATGGAAACGTCAAGACGGCAAGGAAACCCCACGTCAGTAAAGCACCCCGCGGGGACTGCGGAAGAGGCACCACCGGCTCCCTGCTCCCGCGGGAAGCCCCTGGCGGCCAGGCCGGGCCACAGGCTTAGCGGGTCTCGCTTCCAATGCCGTAGGACTTCCCGGGGGTGACCACGGCCAGGCACTGAGATCACAGCAGATGTGTGTTAAAGCGCTTCCCGTTTAAAACACCGGGAGCCGGAAGAGGCAGAGTGGCTTCTCCCCTCGAATCCCAGAGGACCATGGCCTGGCCACCCACACCGGTGACTCCTCCCACACTGGGAGAGAACCCGGCAAGCAGGGTCCCACTCTAACACCCGGCCTGGCGCCAGGCTCTCTGCAGGGCATGGACCCGAGGGTGGGAGAGACGCTGCCCTGCGGGAGGCCTCAGGCCTGGCGCCCGCGCCCTTACCTCCCTGTGCAGCTGCAGGCGGACCTCCAGCCCTGGCAGGCCCCGGAGCTGCGCGCCCACCGAGCGGATGAGCCGGTACAGCAGGGAGTCCACGGCCGCGAGCAGCACCCACACGCAGAGGTGCGCCAGGACCGGGAGCAGGAAGAGCCCCAGGGCCCTCCTGTCCTTGGCGGTCAGGCGGAAAGAGGGCAGGAAGGCGTAGGTGCTCCTCTCCTTCCTGTTCAGGGGCAGCACGCAGGGCCTGTGCCGGCGCCTCTCCTCCTCATCAAACCGGACAAACTGTCTGGTGATGTAGACGTTTTCGTGCTTCCAGCCGCGAGGGCCCAGAAACCGCTTCAGGAAGAGGCCCGTGCTGAGGAGGAGGAGCAAAAGCCCGGCGCAGGTGAGAAGCTTCCGGCCCAGGGAGGAGGCGGCCTCTGCCGTGCTCACCACATGGTACAGGGCGCCCAGCACCTCCCCTTCGGTGTCATTCAGCTGCGCCGCCAGGGCGTGGCTGGGGTTGGACAGAGAGACCTCCAGGGTCTGTTTCCAAGAAACCAGGTCTTCAAACAGGTTCGGAGGAGTGGCAAGGCCATAAATCCACTGAATGGCTTCAATGTATCTTTTCAAAAGTGGAAAATGCACGGAAAAGCTCTTTGCCTTTAGGTTGCAGGTCATGCTGTCCAGGAGACCTTTAAAGTTGCGAAAAATATTCTCTACGTGTCCAAAGATCGCTATGCCTGTGCCGGCTGCCATCAAAGCCTTCTTTCCCTCACGCAGGCCACAGGAGAGAAAGAACAGGAGAAGGTAGCATCGAGCACGCTTGGAGCAGCCCAGCAGAGCCCAGGTGACAGCCCAGCAGCTGGGGAGCACTGCGACTGGCGGCAGGAGCCAGCAGAAGGCCACAGAGAGGAGGCTGGCAGAAATCAAAGCTACCAGGCCACAGGCTCCCAGATGCTGGACCAAGTCCACCCGTCCCAGGCTTCTCCTACGCACATAAATCCTCCAGAGATGTAGGAGGGTGTTGGTGCCAGAAGTCCAGACACCCATGGCTTTGTGTCCCTAAAAATTAAAAAGAAATCAAGATCAGAAGTTGCCCACGGGCCAGGTGGCAGGCTGACCGCCCCTCTCTGCCACTCGTGCAATGGGTCTCCCAGCATCTCCCGCCAGGAGGGCTGTGTCTCCCATCCGTGAACCTGGACTGGCCTTGCTACCGCGGAGGCCCATGCCATGGCAGCAGCCACACATGCCAGGCCCAGAGCTCCCTAGGTCCTGCCCTCCACGGCACCAATCTCCCAGTGCCAGCTAACAGATGACCCCACCCCCCACCCCGCAGCAGCGTTTCAGAGTCCCTCTCTCTGGGACTTGATCCTGCTCCTTTCCCCTGAGAAGGACTTGTAGTGACCATCTGGGATCGACTGCCCGTCTCAAGGTCCCTGGCTTCCCCAGCACATGGGGAAGGGCCACCCCATTCCTGGGTCCCAGCCGGCCCCTCACTGACCAAAGACACACAGCCAAGCAGAAATATGTTTTAAACTACAGAGATTCACACTGGCCGGTCAGGCTGTGGTTGTTCATGGATAAAGGCCCAGGAAGATACAACGCGAGGATGCTGAAGCTGTCCTGACTGGCGTAGGCTAAGATCTCCCTAAGCCGTGCTGGTCAGCGTGCACCATCACACTCGTCTGGTTCTGCAGGGACAGTGGACCACTGGTACCGAACCACACATGGGGCTGGCCGGCTCCTCCCTGCCTCTCACACCTCCTCTGCCTCCTCTGCCCTGCTGCCTGCGTTTCCATCTGAGACTTACAAGAAAAGTAAGAATACTTCCATCCCTGAATTCCTCATCTTGTCCTTCTTCTCAGATCTAGGATAATTAAAGAACCTGCTCCAAGCTGGCAACTGGTTAACGTTCTGCTCAGGCCTGGGAGGTTCACAGAGACCTGGGCTGCTCAAAAGGCTGTTATCCTGGGATGCTTCTCTCTTGATTGACATGAAATTATGTAATGCGCATCATACCATGTGCTCAGGATTTTAATGAGGGCATTGATCAATTCATAAATACCCTCACATAAATCCCTTCTCGCATCAAATACGACAGGGCCAGAGCTTAATACTGCGAGAGCCTGTGAGTCACATCGGTGTGCCCAGGCTGGGTGAGGTGAGTGGCGGCAGAGATCAGGTGGGGGAGACAGCAGCACGGGGATAGACAGGTATAAACCCTCCAGAGCAGGGCACACAGAGCGCGCAGCCTCCAGGCGGGAGCGCGGAGAGGAATTAAGGGTGAGCAGAGCAGGCCATAAGCTTACTTCCTGTCAGATCTTGCTGTGCGGAGGGAGGGCTGGCAGTGCTCAGCATGCAGGGCACCCAGGAGGATGGGGACAACACTGCCCACTGCCCAGGGTGTGTCCCCATATGCGGAAGGAGCTGGCCGACCCCTGGCATGGAGAGGACGGGAATCCTGCCTCGCCTCCAGAGAGCTCCACACTCTTCCTGGGCCATCACTCTGGGCTGGACCCTGCCTGGACTCTGGGTTGGAGATGCCTGCCGGGCACTAATTGCTTCCTGTGCTGCGCCGCATTCCCTAAAGTAGCCATAGCTCTGCCCCAAGCTCTGGAGACCAGCGCACTTTGTGCTTTCCACAAGGTTTACAGGGGCTCCAGGCATGCATGGGATTCGCTGAGACCACGAGACCACACAGAGAAGATGGGGGGCTTCACAGCAGGGCCCCCAGCTCTGGTAGCCTCTCTGGTCTCCACCTGCTTGGGTCATGGGGCCTCACTCCCTCTGTCCCCCTGGGGACAACCCCTGCCAGGCTGGTTGCAGAGCTGCCCAGGACACCCCAAGTCTGTATTCTGCACCCTCTGCATCAGAACAGTTGAAGTGCAAAGATCCCCCGCCTCTACGCAGCGCCTTCTCTAGCCGGCTGTGAAACCCAGCTGCGTTCTTTGTCCTGCCCTGATTCCCCTTCTGCAGCAACATCTTCTTGCTCCTGAAATATTAATGATAGGCATCGTGGATTCACCTCCCCCGTCTCGCCTTCTCCCTGTGCAGTGCGTTGCTCATACAGATAATTTCCTCTGAAAGCAGGAAACAGATTTATGGACACATTAAAATTTTAACATTCTGCAATAAAGTGTAATATCAATTAAACGAGATCTATGGCTGCAATTTTGTCCTGTAAGAGGCATGTGTCCGCCCACCAAGCAGCAGTTCTAACCTCATTCTCCTTAGTTTTGTGCACACAGCTTCCTGTTTCCCAGCCTCCGCCATAGACCCAGCCCTCTGCCGCCGGGCGCCCC